CCCCCCCCCCCCCCTCCGTCAATTCAATATTTCAACTCTTGGTTTCCTAGTTACAAACCTATCATACTTTCAATAAACAGATCATTCACATCTGGCGGCGTCTAATCTCACATGATCTGCTCTGCTCAGTACACCACAATCTATCAATATGCAAGAGCACATTTAATAAACTGTAAAATTATTAAACCTAAATGAAAAATGTGATAAATTATAAAATGTTGTGAAAGTTACAACTACTGTACAAATGGGGCTGTTAAGCTCAATCTTAAGATCAATTAATATAAAATTGATCAGATCAAATCAACAATTGTGGATTTTATTTCTTTTACTGATCAATGGTTTACAAGTGGACAGTATGGATTACACTTGTATTGAAGGAATGTCATCAATAGGAGGTATTTTTCAATATGGAGAAATGGAGGAATTTTTCAATATGGAGAAATTAAAAATTTTTAGTTTGTTTTTCTTTAGATGAGGTAATTAATTGCTTTTTACCTAAAATGTAAATTTTTGCAACAATTGTTAAAGCACAAAAATGTCAGGCCATGCATTCACAATATTCAAAAACCATAAGTGTTACTACATTACTACCATTATAAAAAGTTACTTGCACTCTACTCATCAAAGACAATATGAAAGCCGTAATTTAATGATTACTGGGACACTCTCTAAGAAATTGTTATTACAAAAAAATTATGGTAAACAGGGTATTAATTTGTCTCTTTGTTCCCAAAACACAAAAGAAAAACCCTCTTTTCTGAAAAAAATCACAAGAGAAAAAAATGGGATTAGAACAAATTGATTAACCCTATTCGGATTGTGCTACATTTGTCTTCTATAGATTTTTCCCTTAGAGTTCAGATAAGGGAGAATGATACATGTTCTAAGCCCGAGCCCAAAAATTAACACGTGACACATGTCTATACAATTTTTTTTCTAGGTCTTTTCAAATATAAATTTTAGCCTTGTCGCTTAATTAATAAAAAGCGTTATTAATAATATCTGATTTTTTGAAACACTGACCCGCTCCGTTTAACTGGCTTCCATCCAACAATATACATAAAAAATATGAAATTGAAAAAGTTAAGAAGTTTTAGCGTTCTAATGTAAGCAGATTTTAAGATATCATATTTTTATTATTTTCGCATAGAAAAAGAAATGGATTGAAAGGTGCCTTTCCTGTATTAAGATTATATTATTTGTTACTTTGAACTAGACACTAGCAGCAGCCCAATAAGTGTTTTTATGTATAATCTATGTTTATATGTCTTGGTGGTATAAAACCCAGCTGAATTGTTTAGCGTTGTTTAAAAGTTCTTTGTTGAGTGGGTTGACTTTTTAAGGAAATCTGGGTGTTTTAAGCAAATATGGTGGCCTAAGCTATAGTTATAAATTTAAAACACAGTTAACTTTTTTCATATTTTTTTAGTTTCACTTCCTCGAGGTGAACATGAGCTGTATAAAAACTCCGATCCGGTCAACCTTACCTGTCACATTAATATACATCATCAACTGTATAAACAGGTATTGATGATTGATCTAACAATATCAATAAACATTATAATTATATTTTGTTCAGATTTCGACAATTTGTGTTTTATTTTAAAACTTGAAAATTATTGAATTCCTGTTTGAAGAATTATTCATGTAAATTTGGTTGACATGACAAATGAATTTCGAAAATATAAATATAAATAAATATATGAGAGATCAAAGACGACCTTCATGTCGTCTTCCTACTGTCATATTTTGTGGGACACCCTGTAGTACAACTCCTCAATTGGGCGCCACTTATAACACTAATCTACATGTCTACGCGGTTCAATGAAGTCTCTCAAATTCAGTCTTTGCATGTCTAAACCCTATCTTTGCGATCCAATGTCTTAAACCTTAGATATTACCAAGGTACTAATGCAAGGAAAGTTAATTGCGGTTGTGTATACTCTGCGTACATATTGAAACCAGTTCTCTCTGGGCGGAATTTGTAAACATGAATAGCTGCATCAGTGTTCGTTTAGTATCCGAGGAGGATTAAAGGATTTAATTTTGATAATTCACATAACAGTTTCCTATGACCAGAATATTTCATAGATTATTGTCGTGAAAATGGATTCCGTGTCAGGCTGTGGTATCCGTCTTGTGTTTACTTTTCCGCTCAAAGAGAGTATACTGCAGTACAAAAAATGCGTACACCTCTGAAATAACTTTACCTACATTAGTACCTTGTATATTACAAGCTATGAATTTGAAGTTTAAAATTTCAAAGGTTTACACTATCCGGTTGCAAAGATAAAAGGATTAGAACTTTTTAGTTTATGGAATAGTTCAATGCCCAAGACAATTAAAAATGTATTTCCTCTCTATATTTAGGGGTACAGCGCTAGAGATCTAATGTTTGAGATGACAACCTTCTACACCAATACAACCTCGAGGCTACCCTCCACTGTGATAAACAACTCATCAATCCTCTCCACATTTCATCCCAGTGAAGCAGACCAGTTTAAAGTCACGTGTTTTATCTTGGTAAATACAACGAACTCAACAGGTGGAATCAGTTCAACTAGTGTTACAAGCTCAGCCAGTTTAACCACCGAAGCTGGTTTAATCAGTACTAGCGAATCAAACAATCCAAATGACAAGGAATAACTTTGTTGCAAAAAAAAAAATCTTAACGCAAAAAAAATGAGGAGGGGAGGGAGGGGAGAGAGAAGGGGGGAGAGGGTTAAAGCCCGACCCTATTGGTTTTATTTTCATGTTTTTATATTACTTTTGTGTGAACAGCTCTATTTTTTAATTTCTGTGAGTTTTGTTTGTTAAAATAACAAAATTACATTTTTAGCAACAAATTAGATTTTAGGAGAAACTAACTGTGTGTACACAAACTATCTATGTTGGATGTAAGTATTTTTATATTATTAATAAATTTTAGAATCGGTTCTCAGGATTAATCATTTTGTAAGTTGCATGGATCTGTAGTTAAACTTTGTATTCTATTAAGTATCCACAGCAACATTTAAATCTACCTAGCCTTACATTTTTGTTATACTTTGTGAAAATGTCTGTTACCATCCAGCATTAGAAGTTTGATAACAATAAATATTAATCATTTCTTATTGATCCTTCCCTTACGCTAACTCTTTCCTGCCTCAAAATGCACGGAATTTGTGTCAAATTTTCCCTCGCAAAATGAGCATTTTTTTTAGCATTTTTTTGTGCAATATTTTTTGAACGGAATTTGCATCAAACTCATTCCGCAAAAATTCTGCAGTTTTGCGCAAAACAGAATATCACGGAATTCTGCGCAAAATTCGAAAACTTGTGAGTTTTTTTTACGTATGAACTGCGCAAAAATGCGGAATTTACAACGAAACAAAAAAATTACGCGCAACGATTTTTTCCTTCCACTAGAAACCCTAATTCAGTTTATTATGCTTCTAAAATCAATTTTATCAATGCTAAAAAATTATGTTAAAGTTGGAGCCGAACCTATTGAGGATTTGATCTGTATATCTGAGAATTGGACTGGTATAAAATGTACCTGGAGGATACCCTTTAATCCTATCAAGTAAGTTAATCAAAAATTCTCAAATCAGAGAAATGTTTACGAAATAGAATTTAGTACAGAATGAGAACCAGAAAACCGTGGAATAGAAAGACGACATTAAAGCAATAAGTGATTGTATTAGATGCTGTTACAAAGCAAATAATTAATTAACTTATTAAATGAAATGGGTCGTTTGTTTACACTGCAAAATTGATGTGTTGTTTTTTATGTTCTTTGGACTATTTAAAGTCAAAATTTGAGTCTAAATGTCGTCTTCCTATTTCAAAGATTTACAATAGCACCCTTTTAATAGTAACAATATTTGTGTTTTGTAATTTGGGCAATTCCTTCATTAAAACATTTACAGAATAACCACAATTAAAATAAATCAATTTTCAGAAAAAAGGATAAGGCCTACCGTTGTGAATACCCTATTAAACATACTTGATGTACATGACTCATTTATTATTATGAGGAATTTTTTATGAACATTCATGACTTTTGTTTTAATGATATTTCTGTTGTATTTGCAAAATTGGCCGAACACGAAAGCAACCTAAAATTACTATGCTAACTTTCTTGCCTAAACCTTATCAGCATTAATTTTTAATTCAGTTCGTTTACTTTATAAACTTTTTCATTATTATTTTTAGATATTTGTAATTCTTTTTAGAATTCGGTATATGTTGATGTTTAAACACTGGTTCAGTACCCAGGAAAGGTAAGTGAATATGATGATGTTTAAACACCGGTTCAGTACCCAGGACAGGTAAGTGAATATGTTGATGTTTAAACACAGGTTCAGTACCCAGGAAAGGTAAGTGAATATGTTGATGTTTAAACACCGGTTCAGTACCCAGGAAAGGTAAGTGAATATGTTACTGTTTAAACACTGGTTCATTACCCAGGAAAGGTAAGTGAATATGTTGATGTTTAAACACTGGTTCAGTACTCAGGAAAGGTAAGTGAATATGTTGATGTTTAAACACAGGTTCAGTACCCAGGAAAGGTAAGTGAATATGATGATGTTTAAACACCGGTTCAGTACCCAGGAAAGGTAAGTGAATATGATGATGTTTAAACACTGGTTCAGTACCCAGGACAGGTAAGTGAATATGTTGATGTTTAAACACTGGTTCAGTACCCAGGAAAGGTAAGTGAATATGTTGATGTTTAAACACTGGTTCAGTACTCAGGAAAGGTAAGTGAATATGTTGATGTTTAAACACTGGTTCAGTACTCAGGAAAGGTAAGTGTGAAAATTAACGTAAAAGAAGAATAAGCCAAAATAACATTTTTCGCCGAGAACTCTTTTTTTCAGTAATATTTTTTGTTGTAAATTGTTAGGTTTTAAACTAGATTTTCCTTTAAAATATTTTCTATGTTCACACATACAAAGATTTAAATTGCATTTATTAATAGTGTAGTTTAAATTTTTAAAAAATATGTTTTTTTTTAAATCTTTCAACATGAAGTTGTTCATTCTTGTATTTGGCAGCTCTGGGACCAAGTCTCATGAAATAAAAAGGTCGCTGAACCCACATATCGCCGGTTTAAATCCTTAATCACCAATTCAGATCATCATAAATCTTTAGCTTTAAATCGGAGATTCAAGATTTGTTTAAACCGGCGGTAGGTAGTTGAGCGACCTGGCTCAAATGTTTTAGATATTATCCTATGTGTTGTGTGTATGGTGAGTCTAAAAAAGATCCTCGTCATAAATTCTGCTACTTCTCATCAAACAAGACTCAAACATTAGGTAATCTATATAATAAAGCTCTTTGACCATATAAATTTGTATGTATACATATTGGCTATAGTTTGCCAAACGGCTGGACCGAATTGGCTGAATTTTGAGGGAACCCTTGAGTACCCCGGGGGTTTTCTAGGTTCAGGGAACCAGGATCATATTTATAAAGTGCGATGTCTGATGTTTGTCACACTCTCCAATAATCTCCATTAGTCAATGTAAACTAGACAGGAAGGAGAAGGTTAAAATGCCAAACTATCGTTACGACTTTGTTACCTTGTAACATGTTTGTTCTTCTTTAACAAGATGAGTTCTGATTGAAGTGTGGTATAGTGCTAAAATGTACATGAATAGGGCCACACAAAAGTATAAGTGAGTTAGCGCGGTAAAATCAAAGCCCAATGCGTTGCGACTCTTCTATGTCGACCCCGTCTTAAAAAATGATAAGACTCTTTATTATAAGGCTAAATCTATATGGTGGTGTTTTCTTCTTTCTATGTGTTATTAACATGCAATAAACAGAACAAAAAATAACTGTTAAAAAAGAATAAAATGAACATATTTCAAATAATCATATTCTATTTACAACAATTTAATATTTCAGCCGGTGAACTAAATATTGTATGGCCCCAGCCCTCCAGCTGGAATAACGATACAAATGGGAAGGAATAACAATTCTTTCTTCAGTCACAACTTCGTGTCAAACCACTAAAAAAAAGATAATTGATTAAATTTTACATTTACAAAAGCAGCAATAAGTATTAAATTTTAGCAAGCAACGAGCATATTCATTATCGACTAAACGATCTTTACAACAGAATGTCGTAAACCTTTGATATTTTAAATTATGAATACTGCTATATCAAATAGTTTGAAAAAATGTAAGGGTTATATACCATTGGGTTGCAAAGTTAAAGTTTGTGCAAAGAGTTAAGTTGTTTTCTGAAAGTTAAATTCCTAAGATGTATACAGGGGCAGGACAATATATATTCTCTCAACCCTGTGATTGGTTTAACAAGTTTGACCCTGACGTCACATCACGAGGTTATAAGGAGGTCAGTATAGAGATGGGCATTTTTTTTTGTGAACAAACAACATTTTTGAGAACGAACAACATTTTTGAGAACGAACAATAATTTTCGTGAACTATGGTGTCGTTAAAAAAGAGATCGAAGGACTCAACTTGGAGAAATACAAAAAACGATAGTTTTTAAAATCTGACGAAAAAATAGTAAAACTAAGCGACCAAATTTTCCGAAATATTTTGATAAAACGATCGTTTTTTAATGAACGAACGATTTTTCAGAAGAAACTTTTAAAAAACGGTCGTTTTTTGTACTGGAAGAATAATTTTATTGAACAAGCGATTTTACTGAAAGAAAGTGAGAAAACCAACGAAATATATGGAAAATTAACGATAATTTGGAGAACGAACTGAATCAATTTTTTTAACGATTCAAACAAACAAACAAAAAAGTTCGTTCATGAACAATAAACGATCACGAAATGAAAAAAATACCGAACGCCTTCATCTCTAGGTCAGGATACTAGCATACAATACAGATATCATAAGTGATGAAGCAGTTGCAGATCTTGCGGATTTTCAAGGTACAAAAATTAATAAATAAAAATAATTTTCTTTAAATGTTTAAAAAATGGATAAATAATAATAATTTTCTATAGATACATGTTTCTTCTTACGATGTTTCTTGATTTTTCAAAATGCGAGGTCGAACATAATTGAATAGGAAGAATTAGAACGGCTATAGTTACAATAATGTTTTAAAGTACAGACAAGCCAAGTAGTTAAACTATCTTTACCTAGTCAAGTTATATTATGCAAGATGCACTGCTATACATTAAATCGGACCTTAGGTCTTGCAGATTTGTTCTAATTCATAAATAACACTCCCCCAGCACCCCCGGTGGCTAAATTAAATTACATACCAAAGTTCTACTAAATTTCATAAATTTACATTTTTATTTTTTCATTTATATTTTGTTCCCAGGCGAACTGCCCATTGGTATTGAACGAGAATGGAAGCTAAAGGTTCCAATTCAAGGTTTTGTTTCAATCTATTTTTCTCCTGTTTTCTTGTGCTAATTCTGTTTTTTCTTGTTTTTTTGTGCTTGTTATACCTAAGATGGAATTTAAAGAATTTGATCGTCGCGGTTTAAATCCGCCAAAACCCGGTTTAAATTAAGCGCCGGCTAAAATATTGAAACATTGAATACAATTTTAAGTGAAAGCAACCATATTTCAGCTGCGGCTTTAATTTAAGCCGCCGGTCAAATTCTTTAAATTTGGCCTCAGATTTATTGAATAAAAGAAGTAGATGAACCGCACGCACATTAAAGCACTTTACTTATCCGCCAGTTCTGACTTAATATATGGTTCAACCTTGTCTTGCTGTTCATTAAAATGGTTCCTGTTCTTTTTATTCATTTTTTTCTTCTTGTTTTGTTATTAATTTTGTTCTTGTTGGTTTTGTTGTTTATATAATCCTTTTGTTATGCAGTTCATAATCTTTTTTGTTGTTCTTGCTGTTCTTGTTGTTTTTGTTGTTCTTGTTGTTCTTGTTGTTCTTGTTGCTCTTGTTTTTCTTATTGTTCTTGTTGTTCTTGTTGTTCTTGTTGTTCTTGTTGCTCTTGTTTTTCTTGTTGTTCTTGTTGTTCTTGTTGTTCTTGTTGTTCTTGTTGTTCTTGTTTTTCTTGTTGTTCTTGTTGTTCTTGTTGTTCTTGTTGTTCTTGCTTTTCTAGATGTTCCTGTTGTTCTTGTTGTTCTTGTTGTTCTTGTAGTTCTTGTTGTTCTTGTCGGTCTTGTTGTTCTTGTTGTTCTTGTTGCTCGTGTTGCTCTGGTTGCTCTTGTTACTCTTGTTCTTTTTGTTTTTGTTGTTCTTGTTGTTTTTATTGTTCATATTGTCCTTTTTGTTCTTATTGTTCTTATTGTTTTTAAGGTTTTTAAAGTCCATATTGTTATTATTGTTATTTTTGTTATTATTGTTATTATTGTTATTATTTTTTTATTGTTATTATTGTTATTATTGTTATTATTGTTATTATTTTAATAATTGTTATAATTGTTATCATTGTTATTCTATATTTGTTCAGGGCCCAATGAGAGAATCCGACCAATTTGTGAGAATAGAGGATACCGATAGTAGAGGGTTCGCCTGTTTTATTACATGGATACAGGATTCGCGATTAGTACTTAGGTAGGATACAGAATACACGATTAGTACTTAGATAGGATACAGAATACACGATTAGTACTTAGGTAGGATACAGATTACACGATTAGTACTTAGGTAGGATACAGACTATTCCCTTAGTAGTCATTTTTTAAGAAGTTTTAGTTTTTTTTCTATTTAGGATAATACTACAAGGAAATATTTTTTTTTATAAAAATTTGTATTATTGTCTAGATCTGTTCCTACTGCCCTATCCGTCCTCTACTTGTCCCACAAGTACATGGTTCCCGAGATCTTGGAGCCTGTCCTTCAGTATATATTATGTAATGTAAACGAGGACACCGTCCTTCAAGTCCTACAGACAATTCTTCTCTACTACAGACCTCCAGGACTACCATCAGCTCCGTCTTTGCCCCCTGCCCCATCCTTACAGGCTTGTGAACCTTCTTCTCCTTCTCCTTCTCCTCCTTCTCCCCCACCCCCTTCTCTCCCTCCTCAGCAGCATGATCTATATGAAAAGGTAACTCTACAGGGATACCCACAAAGGATGAGACTTCAGATTCGACTGTAAAGAATTTATATTGTCTATCAACTATTTCTTATATTTAGGATTTTTGCAGGCGACTCTTAACTGTTTATTTTGTTGCCATGTTATTAAATAAGCCATTAAAAAACAATATTCAAGGCAGAAGACTTAAATTAACCTTGGAAACGTCTTCTTTTATAAGTTTCAGGTCGTCTTTACAATGTTATCCTTTGTGGCTAACCCTGTAGGTTTTAAATGATTATGATATGCATACTAAGAATCTAAATTCAATCTAAGTAATTTTCTTCCAGTACAATTTGTAGTCCCGGAGCCAAATACAACTTAGTACCATCATTCTTCAAATTTTGTTGAATAAAAATTAAATCATTCATTTTGTATTTGAAATACACTCTTAGAGTGAACAATGGAATTTTCGTAGTTTTCTTTTAATTAAAAAAATCTGCAAAATATATATGATATAATATTCTGATATTATTTTTGATTTATTTGAAGATAAACTAAGTTGTGTCTGTCCCAGGTGTTCGCTGTGTGTCTGACAACCTTTGACCGGTCCGCTAGCAGAATCCTCGAGAGTGAGGAGGTCGAGGACCTCAGTAGGGACCTCCTAGTCCTTCTCCTTTCAAGATCTAGTCTTAGGTATCATCATTATCATCCTCATTATCCTTATCATCCTTATCATCCTTATCATCCTTATCATCCTTATCATCCTTATCATCCTTATCATCATTATCATCCTTATCATCATTATCATCGTTATCATCATTATCATCATTTTCATCATTATCATCATTATCATCATTATCATCATTATCATAATTATCATCCTTATCACCATTATCACCATTATCATAATTATCACCAATATCACCATTATTACCATTATTACCATTATCACCATTATCATCCTTATCACCATTATCACCATTATCACCATTATCATCATTATCACCAATATCATCATTATCATCATTATCACCATTATCACCATTATTACCATTATCATCATTATCATTTTTAGAATTCAGTCTGAAATAGAAATAGCGCGCGCAGTTGAAAGATGGGGAAGCGTGCAGGCGCGAAGGTCTGGGTATACGCGCGCCCAGGTTCTCGGAGATACGACCTACCTCATCAGGTTCCTCACCATGTCCGCGCAGGAGTTCAAGCGCGGTGTAGCAGGTAACTAAGATTTCCAATCGGAATTCCGTTGCGCGGACTTGCGCGCAAGTAAAATCCCCAAAACATTGACATTTTCTTGACGTTGATAAAAAAGTCTCAAACACTTAGAAGCATATACACTGAGCCCGTAAAATTGTGTAATAGGAAGACGACTTTTATACTAAAGTTTTTATTTCAAATGATCATGACACACAGCTTCTGTAGACCCATTTCACTTGATTTTCAAGCTTCTGTTAAACTATTTTTAATATAAGAAATACATCACAAATGCATTACATTGCTAATAATTTCCATTTCCTAGCTTTCAAACTGTTTTGTGTTTATTTATTTCATTTTGAATGATCAAAAGTGATACTTAAATTTTTTTTTGTGGGGCTATTCATACATTCAACACTCTTGAGCGTTAACAAAGTTCAAGTGTTAAATTTTTAATTCTATTTGTTCACAATATTTTTTGACCCGAAGCTCTTTCATTGTTTTTAAGCGAGTGTCGAACATCAAACTAATATAAATGCAAAAAAAGACTTCTCTGGAATTTGAACGACATTTTTAACACCAGCTTTGTATAATACTAATCGTTTTTAGGCACTGGACTTCTGAGCACACAAGAAGAACAGAGTCTACTCTTTTGTCTAATACGACCGGGGGCGTGGCTTCCACCCCAGTTGGACGGGATCAGGGGCGTGCTCTCCACCCCCCGTAGATGGAGGGACAGGAACAGAGCCTGGTTCACTATTAAGCAGAAGAACCAGCTGCAGGTTAAACCAACCTGTAGAGATATTGGAGAGAGAAGGTTTACTGCCGTAGAGAAGGTTTTCCTTTGTCTTGCATGTATTTTCGACTAGAATATATATTCGAATAGTCTATATATGTAGCTAGTAAATATATTCGACCAGTCTACATATGTAGCTAGTAAATATATTCGACCAGTCTAAATATTCGACTAGCCTGTATTTCTGCCTGGTCTATTTATTCGACTTGTCTTAATATTCGACTAGTTTACATATTTGACTTGTATATATATTCGACTAGTCTATATATTCGGATAGTCTATATATTCGACTAGTCGATATTTATATTTGTACTAATTCATATATTCGACTTGTTTATATATTTGACTAGTTAATTTATTCGACTAGTCTACATATTTTACTAGTTTATATATTCGACTAGCCTTATATGCAACTATTCTATCTATTCGACTAGTTTTTAATTGACTTGTCATTATATTCAACTAGTCCGTATATTCGAATCAAGTCAAAACAATGAAAAAACAACAATGTACTGATTGTACACTCCTTTTTAATATAGGCCTATCAACCTTTGCCATGTTGTTCCCAATCCCCAAAACTCTTTTCTTTAAAAAAACAGTTCATGGACTGTTTTTCAGCCCTGCATTGATCATGATTAAATTTACAAAAAATTACGAAAATTTTTCATAATATTGGCACAAATTTGCAATCTTTTTGTTATTGTTTATCTTGATATATTTATATATTTGTTGTTGTAAACCGGTTTAAATGTAAACATATGTGATTAAATAATTTGTCATAACGCTTGGAATTCACCTAGTTTTTCTTCTTCAGGGATATATGGCATTTCAAAGATCAAAATTTAAGTAAGGGAAAAAAATAAAAAATATGTAATGATTAATTTTCAACTGAAAACGTTCTCCAAGTTGAGAAATTACGTCGTTCTGAAAAACTTTCTTTTCACATTTAGCAAATATATTAAGATTTGGTAAAGAATGAATATGATAATTTACTTTTGCTCCGAAAAAAAGATTGGGGTGGGGTTCCAATCACAAAATTTAAACTTCAAAGTTCTTAGCAAATAGCAGTCAGTTGTTAAACAATTAACCAATAAGAGAGCAGGATTATGTTTGCTGCTCTGTGATTGGTTGGTTTTCCTTTAAAACGTCATAAAGTAATTGACCTTTCTTAATGCAAATTTTATTGGCGAATGAGCTTTAATACAAATAGTACATTGAATGATATTCTACCAAAGATATAAAAAAGACAAGCTGCATCATCTAACTAAGATATTTGTCAAGTTTCAAGCGCTGTCTCTTTTTTGCGAGTTCAATATTTATTCTTTCTTTTGTTTCTTAGCAGGGAGTTCAATTCCTTCATGTCTCACCTAAAATATTTATTTAATCATTTTATCCTTTAAATTCATTGATAAATCATTTTCTTTATTTTCTAAGTATCAAAAAAAATTTTAACCGTGTAATAATTTCTTTGATTTTAAAGGGAAAGCGAATATTTAATTAAAACTTGATCATTTTTGTATTTCAATTCTCAATTTTTTCAATTTTTTCGAATCTTGAATTTTTTTTCATAAACTTACATGTAAAGCTCCGTCCACATTTTCTACTGAATATGTCCAATTTTCAAAGCCAGGCGCCTATTAAGATATTATTATTGTAAATCTAGTATTGCTGTATATGTTGTACATTTCTAATGTGTTTATATGTAGTTAAAAAAAGATTATAAAGAAAATATAGATATATATGATGTTCAATTCTGATTTTAACTTTTGGATTGGATAGCACTTCAGAACATAAACTCGTGATGTGGGGAAGCGTGCAGGCGCGAAG